ACGTGCTGCTTCACGAACAGTGCGAATTTCTTGCTTTTTAAGGGCTGATATAGCAAGAATTATCCGTCCTTCTTGCTCAACTGAATTTTGTAACTTTGTAGATGATTTTGGTGGCATGATTGATGTTTGAACTGCCTTACTCTCTTGAGAGTACGTAGAAACGCGTGAGGTGGCCCGCTCGGTTGTGTGGCCCGCTCGGTTGTGGATTACGTTATTGCCAAGCCTCATTGCACGTGATAATATGGCTGATGAAATCAGCTTGGCGTCTTACCTCATCACCCAAAAGTCTCGTAGGATACTCCCAAAACAAGCGACTCGTGCTCCTCCTTCGTTGACCCTTCTTTACCCAAAGATCACGATTTTGCATAGGCTGCAATTTGTACTTGGTTCTTCTTGCTATAGGAGAAGCAGATTTTGTTGCGATAGCACCCCCCTTTGAACGGGTGGCGCGGGACCTATTATTGTACGGCCGTCTATCCTTTGCATCGATCGCATCCAACACCACACGCTCGTCACAATGACCACAGAGATCGCGGCTGGTACTCCTCTGGCGGAGGCCTTGAGCAATGCCATCCAGCCCAAACTCGCAGAAATGGGTTGGACCTCCGATGGCGGCGACGATTCAGCTTTGATTGAATACATTATCCTGATGCTTGTCAACGGCAAAAGTCAAGAACAAATTGCAGACGAACTTTCCAATGATTTGCTCGGCCTTGGCAGTGAAGGAGATACACAAGCTTTGGAGTTCTCAAGGTGGCTCTTCGAACAGGTCGAAGTCCTTAATCGACAGATCAACGGCGGTGGCGCACCGGTCGCAAACGAGACGGCACAGGCTATACCGTCGTTCAACGACCAAACAGCGACTTCGCAAGAGGGTAATGGAGGAGGAGATCAGGATGCCACTATGAACATGGTTGATGGCTCGCACACGGATGATTCGATGTGGGTTCCCGCTCTAAGGCACATGTCACGGACTTCAGCTAACAATGATGGTCTCAGACCTACAGGACCGAAGGCGATGCGTGGCGGCCGCCAAGCTGGGAGGGGTCGGATGTTGAACCAGATCAACAGAGCTTTAGATCGCAACAGTGACTCAACTTTGCACCGTGTCCGCGGCCAACATGGCCGGATCAATTCTCATGGTCGGGACCACACCAAAGGACGGCCTCATCAGAACGGCGGGGGTAGGCGGCAAATGAATAACGGACTGCCCATGGGTGCCGCCCAATCAATGATGAACATGAGCCCGCAAGATCAGATGCACTTGATGTCGCTGCTAGAGGAACAAGCTCGGATGATGGCGCAGCTCATGCCGGGTTTTGTCTCACCTGCGATCAATCCGGCCTTTCAACAAAACAACCAACAGCAACAAGGGCGCTCCTTGTTCGACCGTGTTGAGCGTCAAGGACGTCCACATGGTAACTTCTCTAATCGTGCCCAGCACCACGGCGTCTCGGCAAAATCACCCACCGACGGCGACATGGATACCAAGCCTGATGGCGCACAGGATGAGAGCAATCCGGACAGTGTCTGCCGCTTCAATCTTCGCTGTACCAGAAAAGACTGCCCCTTTGCGCACCAGTCACCTGCTGCGCCGGACGGCACTCCTGTGGACGTGGCCGATATATGCCCATACGGCGCCGCGTGCAAAAACCGGAAATGTACAGGGCGCCATCCTTCTCCCGCCGTCAAGTCCGCACACCAGGCCGAGGAGCTCTGCAAGTTCTTCCCCCATTGTACCAACCCTCACTGCTCCTTCAAACACCCCTCAATGCCTCTGTGCCGCAACGGTGCCGACTGCACTGCGGAAGGTTGCAAATTCACCCATCTTCAAACACCTTGTAAATTCAACCCATGCCTCAACCCAAACTGTCCTTACAAGCATGCGGAAGGCCAGAAAGGTGCCTTTCCGGACAAAGTTTGGACTGCGGATCAGAACAAGCCCCGTGTCAGCGAGAGGAAGTTTGTCTCAGATGAGAATGCTGCTGAAGAGCTGATCAAGCCGGGTGCTGCAAGCGAGGATGGTAATCAGAACCAGGAAATCATAACGTGATACCCCCGCGAACGCTACGATATCTTCTAATTTCGAACGGCCATACACCGGGCCTCACTTGAACCTAGAACTTTGCTTCAAAACGTATTGTCCGAGCTTGATTCTCCTGTATTATTCTCATTTGTGGACGATGGCTGGCTGGAAGGGCGTTTGTTGATTTTCTCACCGATTCATGGGAGCAGTGTAATGACAGAACATCATCATGTTGGCTTGTAAATAGACTCTGGGTATTCATGAACGGTTTCGAAATGCGTCATACCTAAATTTTCTTCTATCAATGAGCAACTGTAGCCGTACCTCTCTCAGAAATATCCGACAAGATTGAGCAACGTCGGTTGTACTGAGGATTACCATACTTACTGGTAATTTACCGCCGGGGGTCGGAAGTTGGAGATGTCCTCTTGCATGATCGTGCCTCACTCAGTCATGTTATTTCTTCATCTTCCCTTCGATAGTCTTCCCTATAAACCATCACTGAGATGCGACTGCCATGTGCCCCTAGCCTTGCACTGAGGGCATCGCGGACGCCATTGGCGTTCGCCCGCAATGGCCAGAAGCACTCACTGCATACCGGCACCTACAACGCCGCGGTTATAGGAGGTGGCATCACAGGTCTCGCGACGGCCTTCCGCTTGTCGCAGGACCCAAAATGCACAAATATCACCCTGTACGAGAAACAACAGCGAGTCGGGGGCTGGATGATGTCGGAAACCATCCCTCTCGGCGACAATGATGGGAAAGTTGTATTCGAATATGGGCCAAGGACCCTGCGGGCTGCGACTCCCGCGTGTCTCCCACTTCTTGACTTGGTAAGGGACAACACATACACCTTCTGGTAGTATCCGGGTAGCTAACCCTTTGTTGTTTTTGTCTTGCAGCTGGTCGAGCTAGAATTACTCGAGGATGTGTTGATCACGACCAGGTCGTCCCCCGCGGCCCAAAATCGCTACATTTACTACCCCGATCACCTTGTTCGCATGCCTGGTCGCGATCCCGGCCGTAGCCTGTTCTCAGAGCTTTACTCGAACTTTCGGACATTGCTTACGGAACCTGTCTTTGACAAACTCTTGCGAAGTGTTGTGACGGAGCCACTGAAGCTGCCCCCGGAGCCCAAGTCTGTTGACTCCGACGAGTCTGTGAGGGACTTTATTTCTCGGCGACTTGCCCCCGAGATCGCAGATAACATAGTCTCGGCCGTGTATCATGGTATCTACGCCGGCGATATTGACCGGCTGAGTGCGCAGACCCTGCTGGGAACCTACAGGGACCTTGAGCATGATGACCGCCGCGTAATTGGGGGCCTTGTACATGCAGCCACCTCAGATATCACGTACAATCTGATGGATGATTGGCTGGCGCTGCACTCGCTGGCTGCGACAAAGCAGAAGAGCTATTGGAGTAGTTTGAAGACGCTGGTCAGAGACGCCAGTGTTATCACCTTCAAAAACGGCGTGCAGCAGCTTACTGATGCCTTGGCTGCGGCATTGCGCAAATCCGGGAAAGTGGACTTATTGACTGGTACAGAGGTGAAGGCTATCAGCACAAATCCCGTCAACTCCGATCTGACCGTAAGTGTAACTTTTCTGAGTAAGAGGTAACTACGTAAGTTCGTCGCTGATATGCTTGTCACAGATCCACTTCGGAGAGAGGAATTCAAATACCCATAACCGCGTGATTGCAACGAACCCGCCGCCCAACCTGGCACAGCAGTTGGCCAAGCCTACAAGGTCGGGACAGAGGCTGCCTCAAAACTCGATTCGCCAATTGCAAGAACACAACTACGCCGTGAGTGTGATGGTTGTCAACATTCTGTATGAGAATCCCAATCTACTCCCTGTCAACGGATTCGGGTACTTGATCCCGCAGTCGGTTCCGTTCGAACAGAATCCCGAGATGGCCCTAGGGGTGATCTTCGGTTCCGAGTCTAGTGTAGGTCAGGACACTGTGCCCTGCACCAAGCTCACCGTCATGCTGGGCGGGCACTATTGGGATGGGTGGAAGACGACAGACTACCCAGACCCGGATACCGCCATTGGGATGTGCCAAATCCTGCTCCAGAGACATCTTGGCATCACCGAGCAGCCTCTTCAGGCTTCTGTCAAACTGCAACGTCAAGCTATTCCCCAGTACACGGTCGGCCATCTGTCGCGCATGCGGGACCTTTCACAAACAGTGCGCCAGGATTTCAATAACCGGCTGACTCTGGCTGGAAATTGGTACAATGGCGTCGGGGTGACGGATTGCGTTCGGCAGGCGTACATGGCTGCGTCGTATGGCGTTGGCGCACTTAAGCTCGATGCACCGAGCTTTGATGTTCCCTGGATTAGGTACAACTGGCAGGGATGGGAATTAGAGGGGGGTATACCAACCTCTCCTGTGCGAATAACAGGGTCTTACAGGTCGGAACGCAAGTATTTCTTCTAGTTAGCGTCGGGGCACCCTTGCCCCTGCACAGTTGTACAATATGCGCTATCTTGCAATAGAAAGAATAATGGAATGACCATTGAATGCACTAAAATCGTTCCTAGTCTGTAATTTGATGACTATCGGGCATTTGAACACATTGGTACGGATGTGTGGGTGATCTGCGGACGAGTCAATTTGAGATAAATTACTCTTCATCTTCGACTATACCGGCCCAGCGTAGTGCGAGTTCAATCAATTGAGACTGATTCGGACGAGGACGTGTTGTCGTCGTCTGCCCATAATCCCTCCTGGAATGGGCGATGGACATACGACGCCTGGGAGACGAGGCTGTCGTTGCTGCGCGAGATAAGGCACCTGTAGTCACGGCCATATACATATGTCCGGCAGCCATTTATGATAGCGTATTGAGAGAAGACTGTGCAGCGATCCGAGAGTTAAGATGTCGAGTACTACTGAAAGACTCGAACAGTAGTGCGCAGTCCGTTCTGTTGATTCAGAAGCATGTTGCTCACAATTTCGTTCAGGCACCCTCCTTCTCCTTCTCCTTCTCTTTCTCTTTCTCTTCGGTAGAGTCCTTCTTGTCGCCATTAGCATCAAAACCCAGTGCATCAAGCTGCCGAATCAACTCCTGGATCTTGATCACTTTCTCCAACTGCTCGGGCAGCAGCGCCTCGCCCTGGTTCTTCTTGTCCCGCAGATCGCGCGCCTGTCTGAGCTTCTTCTTCAGGTTCCGTGCTTTCTTCTCCTTCTCCGCCTCAGGATCGACTTCGGGCTGCGCTTCAGCGGTCGAATCTTTCTTCTCAGCTGCAGAGGCACCCGAACGCCAGTTCTCTAGATCCCGCACACTCTGTCCATTGGCCTGTGTCGATGTCGATGTCGACTCAAACTCCTGCGCCGCCTTGGCCTTTTTCTTTGCCTCTCGCCGCTTCGCGTTCTTGTTGCTGGCTGCTGTGTTTGCTTTGTTTTCGCTCGCTTCGCTCAATCCCTCGGCGCCTGGAACCCCGCCAGAACCACGGTTTCGCCAAGCCGCGGCGGCACGGTTCTTGTACAGCTCGACATCTTCTGGTGGGCGGTAACCTGGTCGAACTTTGATCTCGCGACGCTTGGAACCGTCTGGGCGGACTGAAGAGGGGATGTAACGTTCCCCGGTTAGGGCGTCAGTAGTGATACCGGAATTTGTAGACGCCATTAAGGCTTAATCTAGGCAGAGTTGTAGTAATCGCTCGCAAATCGATGATTAAGATAATTTTGCTTAGCAGTGAGTGTGAGACTGGAAGGAAGACTACCAACTGAAGTGTTGGTATTGATTGTTGAGCGAGAAATGCTAAAGGCGGACACCTGGAGGCTCTGCGTGAGACTGGTTCCGGTCGACCAATCAGCGACCCGGTGATTCCCGCTGCTGCTTTTCGCGCCGGCTCGAAACTTCAATTCAACCTCTCCGTTTGGCAGTACCTCGCTCGTCTGCAACTGGCTTTGCTCGTCTTCCCGTTCCCTTGCCTTCCTCCCATATAAGTCATCTACAGTCACAATGGCCGGTGCTGTAAGTACTGCTAAAGTTGAATCGTGAATGGTGAATGTGCAATTGGCTAACTCCGGTCCCTCCGTCACAGATCGCTTCCGCTATCTACCAGCATGTCTCCCTGCTTATACCTGACACTTGACGACGACTTTCAAGCATCGCTAACCTAGCCTATTTTTTGCGATTGACAGGGGCCTGATCCGCAGAAACGCGGTATACCTGACCACCATCTTCGCCGGTGCCTTCGCTTTCGAGATGTACGTCTGAAACCCGATTGGACCCGAAGAGACGCAATCGTTGACAATGCTATCCGAATAGGACCTTTGACACTACTTCCAACAAGATCTGGGATACCATGAACCGCGGTGTACGTTGCCCTCCTCGATACCTGTCCCTTTGAGAGATACTGGCGGAACGTTTGACTAATGAATATACACCTTACAGCGGCAATGGAAGGACATCAAGCACCGTTACATGAACAAGGAGGAGGAAGAAGAAGACTAGAGATGTGGATGCTCGCTAGAGGAATAGAGATGCAGCACCAAGTCTCGTCAGATGCATCCTCGGGGGAGGTTGCCTGACGCCTATGTTATATTACTGCTGAGTACAGAGGGGGAATTGTTGTTATTATTTTTCAGCCCGATTGTATGCAATAGAATTTGGAAAAGCTGTAACCAACCCTTCATCATCAATTTGTTTGACCCTTGTACTTTAGAAAGTAGAAAGCTGTGTATCAAGTCCCTTTCTAGCGGGGAGAATGATGCGCGAATGGGGATTCAGTGGCGGCAAAAGACATTCAGCGGTCACCCGCTGTTTGCGTGCTCCAACGCAATCATAGCTGCTGCTACTCATCAACACACTGGGCTTTGCTTCTTGCCGTGGTAGTATCTTTTTTTGGCTGTCTTCATAGCTTTGATCTAGTGGACTTACAGAGGAAGAGAGTTTGGTAGATTCTCATGATCTGAAGCTGTTTTTTGGTGAGTTTGATCTGTACAGCTGTGCTCTGTCAGGCTTACCAGAGCTCTTCGCCCCGCCGAGGATCATATCTTCTCTCCTCCAATATTCTAATTCACCCGCCAACTAATACATGTATTTCTTGTTTTGAGTTTAGGTTTACACTATCTCCAGATCTTCTTGTTCCATATATCGTCTGTTTGTCTGTCTATATTAGCGACCTTCACGACGTCAACGCTTTCCTGCCAATTATCTATCCATACGCAGTGGAACATTCGGAATCACCCTCATTGTCCCGCCGCACAGAGCTTCGTCTCATCAAACCGACTCTACGCAGTACTGACTCCCGCTTTGGGGAGCTGAATGAGAGTTGGATCTACATTTATACCAAGCTGAATGATGCTCACGGAATGTGAGAGAAAACTTGGTGATGGCCTCCTTCGGCTTCCCTTCGAACACGGTTGTCGCTATGGACCCGAGGCCGAGCGAGATCTGCTTGAGCTCCTCTTTCGGTCACTAGTAGGCTTCGATGAAGACCGTTTACGCCAGCTCTTCCCGAACGGGTTTCCGGAAGGACCATGGAAGCTAGCCGAAGCGCAAGGTGCTCAAGAAGGAGCAGAGTACACAGAAGCTGCGCGGGGAAAGCGATGCGGCCATATTTTCCGGGCCGGGGAGGCAACATATCGATGCGTTACCTGTGCCGTCGATGACACGTGCGTCTTGTGTAGTAAATGCTTTGACGCCTCCGACCACTCGGGCCATCAGTACCAGATTTCGCTATCGTCGGGTAACTGTGGTTGCTGCGACTGCGGCGACGATGAAGCCTGGCGGTATCCTTTGTTCTGCGCGATTCATACCGATCGCGGCGATACCAAGGGCAAGCAGCGCGCTCAGACTTTCCTGCCCCCGGATTGGGCGGAAAATATCAGACTTACGATTTCCCGAGTGATGGACTATTTTTGCGATGTCATTTCGTGCTCTCCGGAACAGCTGAGATTACCCAAGACAGAGGATGGCATAAGACAGGATGAAGTGGCATCCCGGCTCACCGGAGATTGGTACGGCGGCGGAGATCAGGCGGAGGAAGAACCGGAATGGGCTTGTGCCCTCTGGAATGATGAGAAACATACTATTCGGGACGTAGCTAATCAGGTCGCTCGGGCTTGCCGGGAACGAATCCGCTTTGGTGAGAAAAAAGCCTACGAAACCAATGATATCGGGAGGACCGTGGTCAGACAATCCAAGGACTTGGCCCAACTGCTGAAGGTATCCCAAGTCCTCGAGCAGATCAAGGTTACCACTACAGTGCGATCTGCTCGCGATACATTCCGCGAGCAAATGTGCGGAACTATTGTCGAATGGCTTTCTGATATTGCGGGATGCACCGTACTGGAGGACGATCAGATTTTGCGGCACGTAATCTGCGAAGAGCTTCTCAGTCCTTGGCGACAAGGCAGTGGTGCCTATAACGCCAGTATTGGATTGAAAGGCATCGATGACCACGCAAGGCAGGACCATTCGCCATACCGCACGTTAATGCTGGCTGCCGTTGCCCCTCAAGCTCAAGTGATATTCGCTCCTGAAGCAGACATTGAAGATGATGAGGAAGATAATGGTAATGGTAATGACGAAGGAGAGGGCGACGATGACGAGGATCATGCCGAGACGCATGAAGATGCGGATGACGAGGACGAGGAGATGGAGATCGATTTGAACAGATTGCGAGAAGAGGTAGAGGAAGATGAAGATATGGTCATGGGCAATGCTGATAACGACCTAACCTTCGAAATGGCGAATATGCTCGAGGATCTGCGTCAGAGGCGGATGGCATTGATGGATGAGCAGGAACGACGGGAACGGGAGGAATTGCAAGCGCAGCAAGAGCAGTCTCGAGCGCAGGACTCACAACAGGCTCAGCACGACATTCATCCGGCCGGTGACGAGCACAGCGCTGACGACAGCGGTGAATGCGCTGACATTTCCACCGTTGCCATTCCTAAAACTCCCTCCGGGGTGGTCAAGCCCCCTCCAGCCAGGGCGCCAGGGTATTGGCTGGCTCGGCCTGCTGGCTTTTCGTGCAGGGAGAACGTACCTGTCTACGAGAACTTTTATCAGCGTACGCGACTGGACTGGATGATTCTCTTCGATCTGAGATTGTGGAAGAAAACGCGCACTGATCTTCGCGATCTTTACATCGGCACCGTGGTCAGTGTTCCGCAATTCAAACGAATTTTGGGCCTGCGCATGTCGGCCCTCTACACCGCATTGGCGCAATTATACCTCATTGCCGATAGAGAACCAGATCACTCTATTGTGAACCTTTCCTTGCAGATCCTCACAACGCCGTCAATAACTGAAGAGATCGTGCGGCGTGGAAACTTTTTGACCAAAGTGATGGCTATCCTGTACACGTTCTTGACCACAAGACAGGTCGGCGAGGCATATGAGGTCAATCCGAACGCAACATTGGCGTTTGACGCAGGCACAGTCACCAACCGGCGCCTTTACCACTTCTTCCTAGATCTGCGTTACCTTTTGCAATCCGAGTATGTACAGCACCACGTTCGTACCGAGGAGCAATATCTTTCTCAATTCCTAGACCTTGTCAAGCTTTCCCAGGGTATCTGTCCGAATATCCGCGCAGTTGGGGAACATGTTGAGTACGAGCCAGACGCCTGGATAAGCGCGTCGATTTTGATGCGAGAAATCAATCGTCTCTGCCGCCAGTTCTGTGAAGCTTTCCGCAATCCTGAAGTCGATGGTGGAAAAAATCTGTTCAGGGCAATCCGAATGGCTACTGTTTCGGCAATTGTTCACTCCGCCGGGTTGGAGCGCCAGAGATTCGATCAGGCAGAGGTCAAAGAGTACGTCCGTTTCAAGCTGCTGCTGTGCTTTGATTTCGAGGTCGACCACACTGGTCAAATTCCGCGTCATCGCGTGGTGGACTTTGTCGTCGAGAAGGGGTCTATCAGCTTTCACCATGCACTGCATTACACACTCTCGTGGTTGCTCGAATGTGCGCGTAATGTGAGCGGTGTTCAAATGCGCGATGTTCTCTTAGATGCCGCTCGCATGGCCAACGACAATATTATTCGCGACAGCTCCCTCACACCGGATGACTTGCTGCTTACCATGTTTGACTATCCATTGAGAGTATGCGCGTGGCTGGCACAGATGAAGGCCGGAATGTGGGTTCGCAACGGCCTCAGTCTTCGGCATCAGATGTCTCAGTACCGGGGAGTGTCATCGCGTGATTTTGCGTATTACCGCGATATCTTTCTGCTGCAGACCGCTTTAGTGACCTGCGATCCAAGCAGGGTTCTGGCATCGATAGCAGATCGTTTCGGCATGGTAGACTGGATGACCAGAAACTATACTCCACGCTCTGGATACGAGGATGCGCAGATCATTGATGTAGCCGAGGAGTTTGTGCATTTGTTGATCATCCTGCTGACTGACCGGAATTCACTCGAGGCCATCGACGATAACGAATCTGTGACTCGTGACAATATCCGAAGAGACATTGCCCATGTCTTATGCTTCAAGCCTCTTTCGTTCTCCGACCTGTCAACGCGCTTGAGTGATAAGCTACTTGATTCGAGCATGTTCCAAGAGACGTTGGAAGAGGTTGCAGGATTCCGTCCGCCTGAAGGGCTGAACGACACTGGCACTTTTGAGCTCAAGCCGGAATATATTAATCTCATTGACCCCTATAG